CCCCCCTGTACCACGGCATTACAGCGGCGGCAGCAGCGGGAGGGATACCTCCATGCCCCCCTACGCCGCTAGGGCATTACACCTAGTAACGAGTTTTGTTCCGTTATTTGTTTCGAGATCGTTACCCAGCAACAATCTATACGTTACGACATTTCTAAGATCAAGATGCCAAGATCCTCGTAAACGCTGGTAACCAATCACACGATATGTCATAATTATAAGGGTACAGGTACTTTCCTGACAGTTGAACCTTATATTAATATCTTTAAGATAACCATTATAACGTTTCAATGTATTACACTTCGTAATTAGGCCTATACACTTGTACCAAGCCAGATCAACTCTGATAGATGAGCCAATCTTTCACAAAAATATAAGAACAATCTGAAATTTATTATACCATAACTGAGGTTTCAAGAAGGTCCCGGGTGCAATGTGTGAGTGTTCTTGTAACAAATGTGAAAGTTGATAAACTTTGTCTAAAGCATTTTCGTGGGCACATGCCCCCCCCCCCCGTACGGTGTTTCTGGTTCCCATTGTGCGCTTAAAATAAAATGTAGTTCAACTTTGCTACCTGCAGATGGCACACTCTCCAAGCTATTTCAGACAGAGTATCGACTTGGTAGCACCGTCACATATCCCTTGATATATTTCTGGCTAAGAAACGAGTAATTCTTTCTGCAGAATAAAATATGGTGATGATAAAAGCTATTAAACTTCAACTTTTTCATTCTTTTCTTGTCCTCTTCGTTCATTTTCTCTCCTGTTTCACGATCTGGTTCATGTCCTTCCTTTCGCAATTTCCGGTGTATTCTTCTGGCAGAGATAACCATTAAAAGTTGCCGTTGCGGGAAGCGAGTAGAGCGTTCGTGCATTCCTGTGTTCAGACCCAGGACGTGGCGCAATGTAATATCCTGGATAGCAGAATTGCGGACCCAAGTTTTGGAAGGAATATACGATATAAGCTGATCACAGTGGCCCCACGGTCGAAGGCAAGAAATGTCTTCGCCCGCTCGAACGCTGGGATAGTGGGTTCGATTCCCAATCAGGGCATGGATGTTTCCGTTTATTCTGTGTTTGTATTCTTCTGTGTAAATAGCGGCCTAGCGTCGGGCTGATCCCTCGTCCAAGGAGTCCTACCGACTGTCTAAGATTAAGAAACCGAAGTGAAACGAAGCGTTTCACGGATGCCTTATGTTCTAAGTTTGAGTAAAAGGAATAGATGGATGGATGGATGGATCGATAGACAGACAGACACACAGACAGACAGACAGATACGATATAACTATATAGACCTGAGCCCTTCTCGAAAAGCTGACGCTGGTTAGTTACCAAATAAATTACATGCAATCTCTGAAATATGAATATTTATTCATGCGGTCGCAAGAGCACGCCACTGGTCTACAACCTGAGCCATATGAATATAGTTCACAACCTATCGTCCTATTTCTTCAAGATCTACTAGATATCATCGTCCCATTCTTTCTAACGGTCTCTTTTTCCTGGCGTCTTTCTGCAAGAACTATGTACGCATTTCTATACCATGCGTGCTGCATTCCCCGCCAATCTCATCCTCCTGAATCTGATGACTCTAAAAATATTTGGCGAGGAGTATAAGTTGTAAACTCCCCCTCGTGTAATTTTCTCCAGACTCTTGTCACTTAATTCCTCTTAGATGCAAGTATTATCCACAGTACTGTACATAACAAAGTCTTTTAATATCATACTTACATAAGGAATAATATTATAGCATGTAGACCCGTTGTTAAATAAAGACTCTGTAAACAACGGACGTTGCAAGATAAGGGGCGCAAAAGATTCGTAACACGCAACAATAAAATAACTAGGAAGCGGTCTTCTCTACGCAGTCCGTGCGACGGCTACGTGACGCAACAATAGATCTATTGGGAGAGGTGTTTTCTGTGAGATCCGTGCCGAAGTGTTATAAGCAGGAAAAGTCTAAAATGTAGTTAGTTGTGAGGCAGTCGCCGACCAGAAAGGACGTGAACACGGAACCTAAGGAAGCTACGGTGTTTGAAGCCGTTACCAGGCGACAACAGATGAAGATACAGCAGACTGAGAATGCCTCGTACATGTTTTAGTGAGTTGTAGAATGTGTGAATTAGCGATAGCGTTAGTAGTTACGCTCTGTAAGTGTTCAATAAATTACCAATCCAAACGTCGCCAATAGTTATTCATACAAGTGAAAATACATACAATATTTCAATACATTTATCTGTTATTTATTAAATTATGCTATCAGTAACACGGACTATATAAGGTCAGATGATTGGATGATTAAACAAACAATAAAATAAAAATATGGGAGGAAGCGATCGTGACATAATTTAACGTACCACCCCGACATTTGACTGGAGAGACTGAAGAAAACAACAAAAACCTCAGACAGGATATTCGGTGTTCTTGCCAAGC